AAAAAAAAAAAGAAAAAAGAAAAAAAAGAAAAAAAAACTGGCCTCGGTCATGCACCAAGGAAGGGAATTTTTGGACGGCTCCAGTGCGCACACAGCGCATGCAGCCGGAGTGACACGGGCAGCTGAAATTGCATTTTTGCATTGGACTGGTTGCGCTTTGCATTGGCGGCTGCATGTCTGGCGCGTTTGCGCTCGGCGATCCTCTGCTGTCGGGCAAGGCGACGGGTGACGGACGCGCGACGTAATCCGCAGAGCAACAGCAGCGGCTCCATGAGCCAAAACGCATCGAATGCACCAAACGAACGCACACGCACGAACATTCTCGCCCGCGCCCACGCACGATTCTCATTGATCGCGCACGCACGCTTCACCCAAACCCTTCCTCAACCACCTCGACATCCATCCTTCTCTCCACCATCACCATCGTCAACACCACGACCTCCAAGACCACCCGTCGCAACCATGTCCAAGGATCACACCGCGCTCCCCATGCAGAGCCTCTCGATCGACGAGAAGGCCGGCCACGACCCCATCACCGGCCACCGCACCCCCTCCGTGGGCACCCCCGGTCACAGCGGTATGGGCGCACAGCCCACCGGCGGCATCCTCCCCGGTGGCGCGCCCAAGAACGACAAGAAGAAGATCCACCCCGCCGTCATCATCGTCCTCTGGATCGCTCTCTCCAGTAGCGTTATCGTCTACAACAAGTGAGTATCTCCTCAAACACGCTGTCTTCACGGCTGCCTCTTTCTGACCACCCTCTTCTGCTTTTTGCTCTTCGCTCTGCCAACAGGTTCGTCCTTGACCCCAACCAGCTCAACTTCCCCTTCCCCGTCTTCCTCACAACCTTCCACATGGCATTTGCCACCGTCGGAACAAGGCTGCTCGCACGATACACCCACCTCCTCGACGGCCTCGCCAACGTCGAGATGACCAACGAACGCTGGATCAAGAACATCCTCCCCATCGGCGCCCTCTTCTCGTGCTCCCTCATCTTCAGCAACATGGCCTACCTCACCCTCGGCGTCAGCTTCATCCAGATGCTCAAGGCCTTCACCCCCGTCGCCGTCCTGCTCATCTCGTTCGCCTTCGGCCTCAAGCAGCTCTCCGGCTCCCTCACCATGATCGTCGGCTGCATCTCCTTTGGTGTCGCACTCGCCTCCTACGGTCAGGGCGACTTTGCCATGTCCGGCTTCATCTGCCAGGTGCTCGCCATCGCCTTTGAGTCCTCGCGTCTCGTCATGATCCAGGTGCTCCTCCAGGGCCTCAAGATGGACCCCCTCGTCTCGCTCTACTACTTTGCGCCCGTCTGCGCCGCCATCAACGCCTGCGTGCTTCCCTTCACCGAGGGTCTCCTGCCTTTCTTCCAGATCTCCAACCTCGGCCCCTTCGTCCTCTTCACAAACGCTGGCGTCGCCTTTGGCCTCAACATCGCCGCCGTCTTCCTCATCGGCGCCGCTAGCTCCTTGACCCTCACGCTCGCAGGTGTCATCAAGGACATCCTCCTCATCCTCGGCTCCATGCTCCTCCTCGGAGACACCGTCACTGGCCTCCAGTTTGTCGGCTACGGCATCGCCCTCGCCGGCCTTGTCGCCTTCAAGACGCACAAGGGTTAATTTTCCCCCCTCGCCCTCGCCCTTTTGGCACGGCGCGCGCCTCAACGTGCTTCATAGATGTCGCAAACTCCCCTCTTCAACTGTCTCTACGTTCCTGCACACCCCCTGCATCCCTCCAAGGTCTCATGCTCACACCATGACAATGTCACTCCCGCCATCCCTCGCCCGGCTCGTTGCTACTTTTTCCTCTAGCTCCCGCCCCCTTTTCCCGCCGCCCAAACATGCCTGCTGCACGCGCTATGCCTGCTGCCATGTCTTGTATTCCCCTTGTCCAAGGATAGACTCTGCTCTGCTGTACTTTGAAATTCTCTCTCGCTTGATCCGATTCTCCAACACCGCATGCACTTCCGTCGGCCGTGAGCATCGGCCGTGAGCATCGACCGTGGACATCGTCCGTGAACATCGTCCGTGCAAAAGGTGTGAAGCGGCTTGACAGCTTGGAGCGTCGGAGCCAAAAATCGAGCGCTGTTAGGGCGTACTTTCCTCTTGCGAAGGAATTCGACTCGCGATGGCTGAGCCAATTTATGCGTCGGCTCTGCCCGAGAACAACACCGCGAGCGTGGAGAGGACCCTTTTTTCTTTCTGCTTCCTCGAAGCCCTGGTCTCTGCGCTGGTTGCCGCCTCCATCCCCTCTGTAGCCTCACATTTGGGCCCTCACGCCACCCGCAATGGCACGATGGTCGACCTCAACAGCGGGCTCAAGCTGCCTGTTCCCGGTGCCACATCCGATCCCACCCTCGCATCGCGCGACTTCTCCTTCCCATACCCGCAAGCCTACTCGATCCAGCTCGACCTGATGCGCCAGGTCTTCTCCACCATCGAGGACGGGAAAGTGGGTCTGTTCGAAAGCCCGACCGGCACGGGAAAGTCGCTGTCGCTCATCTGTGCTGCGTTCACCTGGCTCCGGCAGAACGCCAAGCGAGGCACCCACGGCCTTAGCGCACGCAGTTCGGACCACGAGCCAGACTGGGTGGTGCAGCACGCTCAGGACCGCAAGCGCAAGGCGCACGAGTCGCACGAGCTCGAACTTAAAGAACGTATTGCGACGGCGCGCGCCCGGCAGTCGTCGCTCAAACGGCGTCGCCTGGACGAATCCATCCCCGAAACCCGCAGCCATGCAGACCGAGAGCAAGACTCGGACGACGATCTGCTCATCGACCAAGACGAGGGCGAGAAGGGTGCAAGGGCGCTTCGCATGGCCACATACACGCGCACAGCGTTGGCCGATTCTTCTGTCCAGCAAGACAATCTTTCGCCGGCGGTGCGCGCGCTGATGCAGCAGTACGAGCAGACGCACCACCGCGCTCAGGACGATGACGAAGAACCCGAGACGCTCCCACGCGTCGTCTACGCCAGCCGGACCCATTCGCAGCTATCGCAGTTCGTCGCCGAGCTGAAAAAGACCTCGTTCGGCGAGGTGGACGTCCTCAACCCTACCGATCTGCCCGTGCGGACGATCGCGCTCGGAAGTCGCAAGCAGATGTGCATCAACGAATCCGTCCAGCACATCGCGCGACGCAAGGGCACCGAGGCGATGAACGAGCGATGCCTCGAGCTGATGAAAGCCAAAAAGGGCAAGTGTGCAGCGCTGCCGTCGTTCGACCTGGCGGGGCGCGCGCAGATCCTCGAATTCCGCGACGCGGCCATGGCGCAGGTGGGCGACATCGAGGACCTCGTTCAGCTGGGCCGGGACACCAAGACGTGCCCGTACTTTGCTGCGCGCACCAGCGCCAAGCAGGCCGAGCTCGTCACGCTGCCGTACAACCTGCTCCTGCAGAAGGACGCGCGCCAGGCTCTCGGCATCAGTCTCGAGGGCTGCGTGGTGCTCATCGACGAGGCGCACAACCTCATCGACACCATCCTCGGCACGCACTCGGTCGCCATCGACTCGCGCCAGATCGCCCAAGCCACGCGCCAGATCGACGCCTACCTCGACCGCTTTGCGCTGCGCCTCAAGGGCTCGAGCGAAGCCAACCTGCGCAAGGTGCGCAAGCTGCTCGCGGGCATGTCGACGTTCTTCTCGCAGCACGCCGCGAAAAAGGGCGAGGCCGAGGTGGTCATGTCGGCGGCCGAGCTCGTGCGCGGTCTGGCTGGCAGCCTGGATCAGATCAACCTCGTCACGCTCGAGACCTGGCTGAAGGAGACGCAGATCGCACGCAAGATCAGCGGGTACGCAGACAAGCACGCCCAACGCGCAGCAACCGGATCCGCCGTCAATGCGGCTGGAAGCGCTCGTCGACCTGCACAAAGAACGCCAAAGTCCAGCCAGGTCGAAAAGGACACGCCGGGTCCAAGTGCCATCTCGAGCATGCATGCGATCGAGTCGTTCATACTCTCGCTCGCGCACCGATCCGAGGATGGCCGCGTGGTTCTTTCGCGCGCGGACGACGCCGGCGAGCCGTACGTGCGCGCCAAGTACCAGCTGCTCAATCCGTCGCACGCATTCAAGTCGCTCGTTGACGAGGCTCGATCCGTGATCCTAGCCGGCGGCACCATGGAGCCTCTCTCGGACTTCCGTCAGCAGCTGCTCCCCTTCCTGCCGCGCGACAAGCTGGTCGAGTTCTCCTGCGGCCACGTGATCCCGCCGAGCAATCTCATGGTGAGCGTGCTGGGCTCCAGCCCCAAGGGTCTGCCGTTCGAGTTCAAGTTCGACTCGCGCGCGAACGCCGAGCTGATCGACGAGCTGGGACGCACGCTGATCAACCTGTGCAACGTGGTTCCCGCCGGACTGGTGGTTTTTGTGCCGAGCTATGCCTTTCTCGACCGCATCATGGCGCGCTGGAAGGACGCCGCGTCGGGCGAGCTGCACAAGCGCCTGGGTGCCAAGAAGAGGATCTTTTCCGAACCCAAGACGACCATGGAGGTGGACGGCGTGCTGCAGGACTACACGGCTGCGATTCGCGACGCGGGCAGCGCCGGAGGCGCCATCATGTTCGCCGTCGTCGGCGCCAAGCTCTCGGAGGGCATCAACTTTTCCGACGACCTGGCGCGTGCCGTCGTCATGGTGGGCATGCCCTTCGCCAACATGCACAGTCCCGAGCTGGCCGAACGCATGAAGTACGTGCGCGAGCTCGCCAAGCAGCATCCGCCGGGCACCAAGTCCGTCGATCCCGTAAGTGCCTCGCCTCGCCCCCCTGATACAGAGACAGACAACGCGACTGACCCCTCTCTACCTGTGGCTGGGCGTGCAGGGCCACGAGCTGTACACGAACCTGTGCATGAAAGCGGTCAACCAGTCGATCGGCCGCGCCGTGCGCCACCAGAACGACTATGCGGCGCTCATCCTGCTCGATCGGCGCTACGGCCGGCCCGAGATCAAGCAGCGCCTGCCCGGGTGGATTCGCAAAGAGGTCAGCGTCGCCGACCGGTTTGGCGGACTCATCAAACAGACCGCTGCGTTCTTCAAGGATCGAAAGACGGCAGCATCCTAGGCAGCACGCAATGGACATTCAATCACACGCGCAGCGACGCTGTCGCCATGAGCTTCGACGAGGAGTCAGGGTGTGCCGATCGTGTTTGCTAACAAGGATTGCGCGGCAATTGGCCGGGAAAGTAGCCACTAGGGCATGCGAGGGCGCAAAGCCGAAGGTTTCGGGCGACAGCTGGGTTTTTGGCCGAAAGCGCGCAAGCGTTGGGCGCGTCATCGCCGACTTGCGCTTTCGGCCTTGTGCGCGGGCCTATTCTGCATCACCCGTGTGTGGGCGGACAGTCCGTCAAAACCGACCAAAAATTGCTGGTCCGCCGCCAACACCTCGCGGGGGAGCTTGGTGGGGACCCCACACTCGCTAGCAACGCACGCATCCATCCTCACCAACCCTTCCTCCCTCCCATCCAGCTCTTATTCTTCGAAGGCTTTACGCTCGTACAGCATCGCAATCATGCTTACACGCACCGCACTGCGTCGAACGCTTCGTCTGGCTGCGGCCGCACGCGGTCGTTCGGCACCTCTGCTCGCACGCACGTACGTGCAGTCCTCGACGCTCTCGACGCCCATCGTCGTGGGCAGCACGTCTACGACGCTGCGTAGCTTTGCCACGACGCCACGCCGACTGGCGACGGAGGTCAAGCCGTACCTGCTCGCCGATGTGGGCGAGGGCATCACCGAGTGCGAGATCATCAAGTGGTTCGTCCAGCCGGGCGCGGTGGTGCAGGAGTTCGACCCGATCTGCGAGGTGCAGTCGGACAAGGCGTCGGTCGAAATCACCTCCCGATACGCCGGAACCATCAAGCGGCTCATGCACAAGGAGGGCGATGTCGCCAAGGTCGGCCATGCACTGTGCGAGATCGAGATGCAGTCCGACGGCGAGGCGGCGGAGAAGGAGGTGGACCAGGAGCAGGTGGAGGTCACCGGCGTGTCGAAAGAGTCCGAGTTTGGCGGCGTTGAGATGGAGGGCTTTGTTTCGGCCGAACACAAGCATTCGGGTGCAAGCCCAGCTGGTGGCGCGAGAGAAGTGCTGGCGACGCCCGCGGTGCGAAGGGTGTCTCGCGAACACAAGGTTGACCTCAGCCAGGTGCAGGGCACGGGTCGTGATGGAAGGATCACCAAAGAAGACGTGCTCAACTTTGTTCAGCGAGGTTCCCAATCCGCGCAACCTTCTGCCTCTTCATCCAGCCCCACCCCGAGCGCGCCGGTTTCGGCTGGTGGTACGACCGAGGTGATCGACCTGACACCCGTGCAACGGGCCATGTTCAAAGCCATGACCGCCACGCTTTCCACGCCACACTTTGCCTACTCTGACGAGATCGACGTGACCGAGCTGGACTCGGTACGCAAGATGCTTTCCGCCTCGATTCCCGAGCGCTACACCCAAGCCGGCGAAGCCTCGTACACCAAGCTCACCCTGCTTCCCCTGCTGGTCAAGGCGATGAGTCTGGCGCTCAACGACCATCCCATGTTCAGGAGCATCCTCAATGCCGATCAGAAACTCGTGCGTCGTTCGTCACACGATGTCTCGATCGCTCTCACCAGCAAGGTCGGTCTGCTCACGCCCTGCATCACCGACGTCCAGACCAAGTCGATCTACGATCTTTCTGGATTCATCACGCGTCTTCAGAACCTCGCTGCCTCGCCAAAAGGACTTGCACCCGCAGATCTGAAGCCAACAGGCACCATCACTCTCAGCAACGTCGGCGCCGTCGGCGGCGGAACATACACACATCCTCTCTTGCCCCCCACGGGTCAACTCGCCATCGGCGCCCTCGGAAGAAGCAGAATCCTGCCGCGCTTTGCGTCCGAAATCCCTTCGCTCAACTGCAACGACCCCGACAAGATCGTCCGACGCCTCATCATGTCCGTCTCCTTCACTGGCGACCATAGGGTCGTCGAGGGCGCCGACCTCGCGCGCCTCGTCAATCGCTGGAAGCAGCTCGTCGAAAACCCTTCCCTCTGGCTCGGCCTCTTGGCCTGATCGCCACCAAAAGCTCACAACGCATCTCCTTAGAATCAATCAACTTCAATCGCATGCACGTCTTCCCTCCACCAGAATCGAGTGACCAAGATACAAGGGCGCACCTGCATCGGGAAGAGATGCCTCGGATCGGGAGATTTGGCAAGATTTGGAAAGATTTGGGGCCTGCTTGGATTGAGCGGTGCAACAGCAGCTATGATTTACAAAGGGGCGTGTCTTGGAGAACTCGAGATCTGGGGGTGGCGAACGGCGGGCGCGGAAGTTTACTCGACGGTGACAGACTTGGCCAGGTTGCGCGGGAAGTCGACGTCGACGCCGGCAGCCGTGGCCAGGTGGTAGGAAAGCAGCTGGAGCGGCACGACGGTCAAGAGACCCTGGAGGCAGTCGACGGTGCGGGGCACGCGGATGGTCTTCATGCCCTCCTTGATGTCCTGGTCGTCGTCGTTGCAGATGATGATGGGCTGACCCTTGCGTGCGGTGACCTGCATGAGGGCGGTCTGCACCTTGGGGTAGAGCGAGTCCTTGGTCATGATGAGGATGACGGGCATCGACTCGTCGATGAGCGCGAGCGGGCCGTGCTTGAGCTCGCCGGCGAGGATGCCCTCCGAGTGCATGTAGCAGACCTCCTTGATCTTGAGCGCACCCTCGAGGCAGGTGGCGTGCTGGTAGCCTCGGCCCATGATGAGCAGCGAGCGCTCCTTGGCGAGCGTGTTGTGGGCGAGCGCCTGGAGCGCCTTGTCCTGTGCGAGGATGCTCTTGATCTGGGCGGGGAGGGCGTGGAGGCCGTCGATGATGGCGTTCCTGCGCTCGGTCATCGAGGTCCTGTCCTCGCACAGCTGGACGGCCATCATGATGAGGGCAATGTACTGCGACGTGTAGGCCTTGGTGGAGGCGACGCCGATCTCGGGGCCGGCGTTGATGTGGATACCGCAGTGGGTCTCGCGCGACATGGTGGAGCCGACGGTGTTGACGACGCCGAGACAGAGGGCGCCGCGCTCGAGGCAGTAGCGGAGCGCGAGGATGGTGTCGGCGGTCTCACCGGACTGCGAGACAAAGACGCAGACGTCGTCACGGAAGATGGGCGTCTTGCGGTCGAGGAAGTCCGAGGCGAGCTCGACCGAGACGGGAATCTCGGTGAGCTCTTCAAAGATGGCCCGGGTGGCGAGGCACGAGTGGTACGAGGTGCCGCAGGCGGTCATGACGATTCTGCGGCAGCGGCGGATGGTGTTGAGGAAGGCGGTGAGGCCGCCGAGCTTGACCTGGCGCTTGTCAAAGTCGACGCGGCCACGCATGGTGTTGACGACGGACTCGGGCTGCTCGTAGATCTCCTTCTGCATAAAGTGGTCGAAGGAGCCCTTCATGATCTCTGCCAACTCCATCTCGAGCGTCTCGATGGAGCGCATGGAGCTGAGGCCGTCGTTCCTGCGGAGGCGGTGGATGTGGAGCTCGCCCTCGGCGATGTGGGCCACGTCGTCGTCCTCGAGGTAGAGGACGCGCTTGGTGTGCTCGACGACGGCCGATGCGTCCGAGGCGATAAAGTACTCGATGGGCTGGGGCAGGCCGTCCTCGGAGAGGAAGGCGCGGGACTGGGAGCGGAGGAGCTTGTTGTTGGCGTTGGGCACCGAGAGGGAGCCGGGGCCCGAGGGGTCGCCGCCGGGAGGGGCGAGGAGGCCGGCGTCGCCGAAACCGCTCTCCTCGACGGCACCGCCGAGCTCGACGTCGACAAAGTCGACCTTGAGCTTCTTCTCGGTCTTGACGCCGATCAAGAGGGGCGAGCCGCGTCGTGCGATGACGACCTCGCCGGGGAAGTGTACGGACTTGAAGACAAAGGAGAAGGCGCCCTCGAGCTCCTTGAGGACGGACTTGATGAGCGAGGTGAAGTCGGGCTTGCGGCCCTGGGCCGAGTCGTAGAGGTACTTGCAGAGGATGGCTACGGCCTCTGTGTCGGTGTCGCTCTCAAACCTGAAGCCCCGCTTCTCGAGGACCATGCGGAGCTCGCGGAAGTTGGTGATGATGCCGTTGTGGACGACGGTGAATTCGTTGGTGGGATCGGACCTGTGCGGGTGGCAGTTGATGGGGCTTGGCTGACCGTGGGTGGCCCAGCGCGTGTGGGCCATGCCCATCTGGGAGATGGAGACCTTGTGGAGGTCGATGTGCGACTCATCAATGTGCTTGCGGAGGGCGGCGACCTTGCCGACCTGCTTGAAGACGAGGGTGTCCTTCTCCGTGTCGCCGTCAATGGCGATACCGGCACTGTCGTAGCCTCTGTACTCGAGACGAGCGAGACCGGTGACGAGGATGTCGATGACCTGCTTGCGGTCCTTCTCCACCAGGTGGTTGATATAGGCGAAAATGCCGCACTTTGAGGAGCAGAAGGCGGAGAGAGATTGTCAGTACAGCTGACTAGCGAACGAACCAACGAACCGACGGCAATGATGCTTACCATGGTTGCGACGAGTGTATGGAAAGAGTTCCGATGCGCAGCACCGAAGAAGGGTTGGAAGGAATGAACGAAAACGAAAATGAGGGCGAGCTCGACGATTCTGCGTCTCTAACCAATGCTAAGCAGCAGGACGGCAGACGATGGTCGACGCTAGGAAAGAGAGAGAGTGAGAGTGTGACGATGGTGTGAGGGAGGGGACGGAGCGAGCGGAGACGGCGGTGGAATGTCGACGTAGCGATACGGGGAGTTTAAAGGGGCCGACCGCTGCGAGGCCAAGCGCAACAACAGCCGGCCAGACGCGCCAACGGCCACGCCAGGCTGAGGCCAGGCTGAGGCGAGGCGAGGCGATGGGCGAGGTGCGCCGGACGTGCGTTGAGTGGGATTTTCAGACTGACAGCTGTGCGCATTCGCTTTTGCATTTCGCGGCTGGCTGGCTGTGCTCGCTCGGCTGGCTCGTGGCGGCTGCACGGAGCACCAACGCTTAGCTGGCCAGGCAGGCGTTGGTTGCGTGTGTGTGTGTGTGTGTGTGTGTGT